GGGACCCTCTCCCTTAGTTAGGCATGCAGGACACGGGGGCCCCCCTCCCTTAGGCATGCAGGACCCGGGGCCCCCTCCCTTAGGCATGCAGGACCCGGGACCCTCTCTCTTAGGCATGCAAGGTCCAGGAGGAACTATGATTTGTCGGTGACAGTGGTTTTCTATCTGACACTTCGACTAGACAGTTAAAACACTGACCTGTCTGTGCCAAGTTCACTGAGCTTTGCTGCCAGTAAGATTGGCGTGATCTGGAATTATGTGGATGTGGGATCAATTGAGGAAAGGATTACAGTTGTTTACTCTGCATTGGTCATTTTATGGAATTTTCCTTTGTAGCAAGGAGATTGTAAAATTGACAGTTGAGAGTGGAATCAGATGAGCTCCACAGTGACAAGGTGTCTAGCATGTAAGCCATCAAGAATCCTTTTTTCTTCCTAAAAGTCTCACACGCTGATGCTGACCGGCACGTCACCTAATAAACCTCTCGGTGTCTCCTAGCCTCTTCTGATTTTGCCCACACCATGTTAGTACCATCAAGGGGTACTGTTCTGTGCGAATACTGACTCAGAGGAAGAGCTAACATTTCTCAAGTCCCAAAGAAAAGAAAGTTTATTACAAGCATTTGTTCCCATCTTTTGGCTAAAACAACTATGATTATCCTTAACAACTGTAGCAAACATTTACAGCACTGTGACAAAAGAAAACAAAAACGTCAGGTGCTGTGTTAGCTTGCAGTACGTGCTTGACTCAATGTGCCAATGGACGTGCATTTAATGAATGTTTCCTCTTAACTCAGCACTAAGTGGGTATGAGTCAGACAGAGTAGAAATATAAGACCTAGTAGCTGTCTCCTGGAGCATATACTGTAGTTGGGGAGGTAAAGCCAGCACATCTGAAACTACTGGAAATCAATTAAATACTAAACCATGTGTGTTTGTTTCCTAGGCTGCTATAAAAAGTACCACAAACTAGGTGGCTTAAATAGCAGAAATGTATTCTTTCACAGTTCTGGAGGCCAGCAATCTGAAATCAAGGTGTCAGCAGAGCCTTGTTCCCTCTGAAGTTCTAGGGAAGAGTCTGTACCATGACTCCCCCTAGTTTCTGGTTGTTGGTGGCAATCTCTGGTGTTCCTTAGCTTGTAGATGCATCACTCCGATCTCTGCCTCCATCTTCACATGGCCTTCTCCTCTTTTGTCCTTGTATCCAGACCTCTCCTTACACTAGTCATTGGCCTAGGGCCCAGCCTAATCCAGTATAACCTCATCTTAGCTAGATTAGATCTGCAAAGTCTCTATTTTCAAATAATGTCACATTCACAGATATCAGGAGTTAGGACTTGAAGGCATCTTTGTGGGGGACACAATCCAATCCAACACCATAACAAGAAGTAGCGTAGCAGTTTAGTGCAAGTAATTTCACTTTTTTAGGCCTCTACAGCTCAATTTTTCTTAAGGGTAAACTGGGATGATATTATCGCCTATATAATAGGATTGCTTTGAGAATCACATAAGTTAGTACATGTAAAAAGCTTCAGAATAGTGCCTGGCACAGAATAAGTGCTCAGTAAATGTTATAGTAACAGTATCGTAGCCATAATTTGTGAATTACAAAATGAGAATAAGTATCTTGCTATGCATATGAGGAGCTGTAGATACGAAAACACAGTAGGAAATGTCTCCCTTCAGAAGTCAGGACCTTCATCTGGGCATTAAAAGATGAGTAGGACTCAGATATGGAGATGGACATTAGGAAGTGATGCACAGTACAGACTTACGGCAGGCGATTGCAAGCCTACTGTATGAAGGGTGGTATCTGTTAGTCACATGAATGCTGAGAAGAGCTTCCTTTTTATCTCTATCACCAGTGGGAGATATTTATAAAATAAGTGACGGGACAGTCGGAGCTTGAGAAGGCACTTTCCTTGTAGAAATGGTACTGTCTGTAGGGTGGGTGGTTTAACAAGAGGCTGGGGTATACAGGGTAGGACATACCAGAAAGAGGGACTTAGAAAACAAAAAATTCAAGAAAAGGCCATTGCCTGTTGGTGAAACCAGCTCACTACAACTCCATTTGTAGAGGTTAAAAGCAGCATGCAATTTTTATAATTCTCAGCCAAACCATTTTCTTTATTTAAACAAATAAAAAGAGCAGAATAGAGAACAAAAATCATTTTGTGTGTACAATGATTTTCAGGTGTTACTAATTATATTGTAGCTCTAGCATGTGGGTTTCACTTAGGCTTTTAAATATTCACTCTCCAGTGTAAGGGGCCCTGATGTATTCAGCTGCTTGCCTCCCTGCTGTGTAAACGTCCAGTCCCATGGCCAGATCTGGGTCCTCAGTTCTGAATCACAGCTCCCAGGCTTTGCCTCTGCTGTCTGCAGCCTCCAGACTTGCTGCACTGTCATCCTATTGCTTTCTCTGAATCAGCTGAACTCTCAACCCATTCCATTACTGATCCTAGGCAAATTCGGAGCTGTGTGGGCTTTAGGAATTAGGATACGGTATCAATATGCCTTCTTTCCTCTGACTGCTCTGATCTCCATGGGAGGACAGCTGCAAGGTGTCATGGGCTGGGAGGCAGATGTGACTGGTTCAAATTCTGACTCTGCTGCTGACTATGACGTAGCCTTTTGAAAGTTACTAAAGTTTTCTGAGCTGTTTTTTCCATCCATAAAATTGCATAATAGTACTTCCTATTAATTTAGAGTAAACAAATAGCAGTAACTGTTCCAAAATAGGCATCAAGAACTGTCACTTCACACCTTTACTTCTTGTCCCTTTCATTCCGTGTTCAGCCTAAGCCCTTTTTGCTCCATGAAACCTTTACCGATTCAGCCCCCACGGGCTTCCTCTTCCCCTGAACTCTAACCCCAGGCCAGCCTACCTAATGCTGTATGGGGCTGTTCCCTGTTGTGCTGGTGTGTACAAATGCAACGTACGTGACAATACTGATGACTGAACAGGAGCGCCATTCCTCAGGATCCTCACTGTATGTGTTTCTTTTCAGATTCTCGAGTCAGAGGGTGGTTCATGTTGGACTCTTACCTTCCTACCTTTTTTCTTACTGTCATATATCTACTCTCAATATGGCTGGGTAACAAGTATATGAAGAACAGACCTGCTCTTTCTCTCAGGGGTATCCTCACCTTGTATAATCTCGGAATCACACTTCTCTCCGCATACATGCTGGCAGAGGTAAGTGTTTAGCCAAAGCTGAAGTCCAGTAACTAGCAGTTTTTATCAATAGAAACAATCATATCTAGCCTGGCAGAACTATGCAAGGTTGCTATCAATACTTTAAGTCCTAAAGAACTTATTCCAGCATTTGATATTATTCTTTCTGAAAATTCTGGAAGTCCTTGTTTATAACTTGAATCTTTCGTATCCCAATTTAGACCTTTTTTTTTTTTTTTTTGAGACAGAGTCTTGCTCTGTCATCCAGGCTGGAGGGCAATGGCACAATCTCAGCTAACTGCAACCTCTGCCTCCTGGGTTCAAGCGATTCTCATGGCTCAGCCTCCTGAATAGCTGGGATTACAGGTACTCACCACCATGCCCAGCTAATTTTTGTAATTTTAGTACAGACAGGGTTTCACCATGTTGCCCAGGCTGGTCTTGAACTCCTGATCTCAGGTGATCCTCCTGCCTCGGCCTCCCAAAGTGCTGGGATTACAGGTGTGAGCCACCACGCCTGGCCTAGACCTATTTCTTTAGTCTCTAGTCTAATTTAGAATCACAACGTAGATCAAATGGGCCTTTACAGACCATGTTACAGTTTTCTCCTTTTACAGATGAGGATACTGAGGCTTTAGAAAAGTTTCATAATTTGCCTGAGAATAGACAGTGATTAACAGAATATTTTAAAAATGAACTTAAACATCATATGCAGTTAGTTTTACTGAAATGCCAATATATATATTCCCTTAAAGAATAGTCCATATGTCTTTGGAACACTGATGTTTCAGCTCAGCTCTGGTGGCCCTTGTTACATCCTGCGCTCCAAATTCCTCTGTGAAGCACCGAACAAGGTCATTTTACAGGAGAAGGAACAAGGATGAGTGCCCCGTCTGTATAACCAAAAGTTATTTTAATGTAATAGAAGGGGAAATCTAAAAGTGTTAAATAACTTGCTGTAGAAAAAAAAAAAAAAAGAAAAGAAAAGAAAAAGAAAAAGAGGGACAAAGAGAATGAAAACAAAATTTTTTAGGGATTTTATAGCTTGTATAAAATCACTCATACAAGCTATAAGTGGCAGATAATGGCACAAATATAGCTAGCTGCCTTTCTGATGATCTTGAATTCTAAAAGAAAATAAATCCTTGCCTTAAAATGAAGGTTCTCTT